CGGGGAGCCGCGACCGCCCGCCCCAGCCTTTGTCGCTCCTCGCTCCGTCCGCCGCCGAGAAGTAACTCAAGTCCCGGGATCTTAGGGACCAGGGTGGAGGAGCGCGTGTGAGTGGAGCAAGAGTATCTTGTTCCAAGTGTCCGCGAATTGGGGGGCGGAAAAAAAAGGGAAACCAGCGGGAGCTGCAGGCTTCTGGTCTGCACACTTTCACACAAAGGGGAGCCTCTGAGCAGGGCACTCTCACGCGCCTTCCAGGGCACAAAAGCCAATGACACGGTGCCCGGGATGTCCTGCGTTTGCAGCGGCTCGCTAATGGTCTTTCTTAGGCGCAGTTATGCATGCAAACGCCCGGGTCTCTTCCCCCACCACCACCATTCCCCGCCGCCGCGGCTTGTATTCGTTTCTTTAACAAAGAGCATCGGCGGCTGTCCCGGTGCGCGCGGGGGCCGATCCTGCTGTGCTCAGACTCTCGCAGCCTCCCTGCGGGAGCCTCGGCTCTTGGAAACAGTATCCACCGGGTTAATTTCTGGGCTCCCACCGGCCCGTTTTTGATGCTCTACAATCAGTTTTTACGAAAAAAGAAATCCTGAGCGGTTTGATAGCTGTTTAAATGAACGTGGGAAACGTGGAAATGACCCTGGAATAGGGCTCAAATGTTGGAGACAAATGGGAGGCTGCTGTGTTTTAAGTCCCTGATGAACATAAGAATTTAACCTCATTTTTACAAGCTGGTATTGCCTAGTTGGAGGTGATTCTTTCATATCTTAAAAGGCAACTTTTTAAAACGACATTCTCACTCTGAAATGTGGTAGAAACCTGAATTAGCAGAGTGATTAATCAACTATCCTCTTAACTCAAAAGAAGTTTTCAGTCTTGAGTTCAAAGATTTAGTGACTATTGGCACCTCTCTGAACTATGTGTATGAAGTATCAATAACTTTCAGACCTTAATATATAATAGGATACTGCACACACAGCATCCTTTCTGGAGGACGATGTTTATCTCCTGTTTCTGATCAAATAAATTATCACTTATGAGAACCACTGCCCACTTTGATACTTTCTGAGTAAGAATACTGCATCTCCCACATGGCAGGAGCTTGCTTGCTTTCATTAAAGACAAATCTTAAATGCAGGAACATCCTGTTCCTATTAGCTACTTTGAGAAGAAATGTTTCTCCCATTTTCCAACCAAACTAAGCTAGAAAGTCCCAAGCAAAAAAAAACTTGCTACTCTCAGGTTTTTGTTTTTTTTTTTTTTCTTTTACTGTTCCATGCATGCATACACTTTGAACTGTAGATCTGAGAGCTGAAGAGATGGCTCAGCAATACATACTGATTTTCCAGAAGACCTGGGTTTGAGTCCCAGCACCCACATTATGACTCACAGCCATCTGTAATTCCAGTTCCAGGGTATACAATGCCATTTTTTTCTGGCCTCTGTGGGTAGCAGGCATGCACATGGTGCAAAGAAATAGATGTAGGCAAATCAGTCACACACATAAGATAATAAAACAATGCTTTAAAAAATGAAATGTAGCCGGGCGGTGGTGGCGCACGCCTTTAATCCCAGCACTCGGGAGGCAGAGGCAGGCGGATCT